TATATGAATGAATGAATGTCGGGTGAAATTTACTATCTTATAGTCATTTAAGGTTCAGCAACTTTGACTTAGAAATCCAGTATTATTTAGGATGAAGTGAAATATCATTTCAATTTAAACTTTTTTGTCCAAATTCGAAGTCAGCGCTTTGTAGATAGTGTGAACATGAGTCAAATACATCAGTGTAAGCTGTACAATTTGGTGACTATATTTTTTCGTACATGTCTTCAACGTAAAGTTACAAACTGGGATGAGAAGAATTGACTGGGCAGCCAGTGTGAGTACGATCAAGTGGTAGCAACGCATCACGAATTCACATATTAGTCGGGGAAAACCCATGGTGAGTGAAATGAAAAATAAAGGTGGTCAGCAGTCGGGTCTCGCAGCCCAGTTGGTAGAGTATAGGGTAGGTTCGAATCTCGCTGCGGTTCAAATTTTCGTTTCAACTTCAATCATTACCCAGTATTAAAAAGTTACAACCTGAAGTTTGGGTATTTTGTTCCTAATTTCTGTTTGATTGTGATGGTTTCCTTTAATTACAGCGACCGTGTTCTACGTTTGGCCAGTGGAATTATTCATTAACTGCGAGCAAATCTAGCTAGTGATCGATTACTTGAATGACACAACTTTTTGATACGTCCACTAGTCACTATTAAACAGTATAAGGTTTTTAAAATTCTTTTCATGGTTTCATCGTATGATATTTTTACTATAACTTCGGATTCACAAGCACAGCTCTGTAAGCTAAGTGTTTTACAATACTTCGATCAAAATGACTTATTTTTCAACTCTTCAAATGGTCTGACTTAGCACTTTCGCTTACTAATATACCAATTCATATTCTTCCAGTCAAAGCTGTTGTAACAGAAAATGAACCGAATTCTGTTGGTTCTGTAACAACATAAACGATCTCTTAAGCATATTCTATAGTCTGTTTATATTTTAAAAAACCAAGAAAAACTACCAAAGTTACTTCGGTTGTTTTCTTTCTAGCTCACCCGTTTACAGTTACATGAAAAACTTAAGTGTGGCCTGTGTAACAGACAACTACAGTCCCCAAATCATCAGGAAATCATTATTCATGGGAAATGCTTTACTATAGACATAAACTCGATATTACTTACAATGTACACATATTTAGTATCGCATTATGCCCATCATTTTTTCTGTGGATACTGACAAGTAGAAAATTCCTTCAAATTTCAAAGTGGTATTCATTACAAAATGACATCATTTAGAAAATCATCAAAGACTTGGATAGTCGCTTAGTCCAAGTAAGAGACCTCTCAAAAGTGTATACCATTAACTTCACCAGATATCGAATAAATGACTTTCAGTTTTCCTGGCGATCATGTTACCATTGAGCTGGAATCCGATGGTCTATATTTTCCTACTTCTGTCAATTCGTGCCATTCGTTACCATAAGTGAGTATTTTTCCTTATATCCAACTTGGTTAACCCCACATGTCACAGCTTTTCAAACGAACTTCAGGAAATCTACCTCGAAGCGTAATCGCAGTAATTCAGTTTGGAGATTTGTGATGATTCCTTGATTTTAAAAAGGTGTTCACCATGAAATCATATGGGTTTGAAAGCCATCAAAAACCTTGGAGTACCGAACATATGTTTTTTCCAGTAGTAGCAAACACACATGACACCGTCTGGGATCGAACCCAGGGCCCTTGATATTCGTGACAACTACACCATTACTTAGCCACTAGGTCGAAATCAGTTTAGCACTCAAATGTTTTCAATGGTGCTCCAAATGGTGTCAGTTCGTAATAAATTTCACATTGAAAACAATAAATTCCCCAAACCTTCTAAGTGAAATACTCTTAGATTACCAACTAGTCTTGATAATCCCTCTTTCGGTAACTAAGTTAATTGATTTCATTGAGAAAAGTGATTTTCAGTTAAGTATTCTTGTGAACAACAGTCCTTTTTATGAATTTGTGTAAAGTTTTGAATGGAAAACAATTTAGTCTACAACTCAGTACCATGGCGGCTAGGAGAAAGACAGAGAATGAATTGGAGTACTGACTACAAATAAAGTGTGCAATATTTATGCAGTTGGACTGTTAACATACATTCAGAATGCTCTTCATGTAAGCAGCAAAAATAACTGGTGCACTGTAGGTGAATTATGACATGAAAAGAGCGATTCCGTTTCTACAGTAAAAATTCTACAACATATCAACAATTAGTATCAGTTGGTGCGAATTAAATGAGGTTGACAGTGATGTTTGGGATCAGATGATGCGAACATAAATGTAAATCAGCAGATTCTTTCATTGTGACTGACTCATTGACCAGTAAATTTAGAAGCAGTAAGAAGTAAACATAAAGCTCTCACCATGAGATTTTATAATTATGAGTTTAGCTCATGTAAGTGTTGTTTATGAGTGTCGATAAATGTTTAAAGGTGGAATACATCATTTATTCGATATGCTTCATACTTTAGATATGTTAGTTGGTTGGAGACAGTATGCAGAAGGCCCTGGATGTAGTTTTCATGTCGTGTTGACACTCGTCAGAAAGGCTTATCTGCACTCACAAAGGTTTTGATGTCTCCTTTTAGAAGAGGGCAGCCATATTGTAACATGATGGATATGATTCAGTCAGCACTCATGGTTAGACAACATGAAACTGGTTACCATCCAGTGATCAACCAGTTTATGTAACCAAGTTCTATAGAAGGTTGTCCGTGACCCGAATAGCTCAGTGGTAACGTCGGTGACTGAAACACTAAGTGATGCGGGTCTGAATCTCAGGAGAGGTTTCAGATACTTCTTGCTGACAAGCGTCAACAACCACAAAAACTGGGTCCCGCGTTTCCTACCGATTACCTTCAATATACTAACACCTGTAGATGTACGCCACGATGCTGAGCCTCCTAACTTGGTGGTCATATTCCAAAATGATCGATAGAATATTGTCAGCACTCAGGACTAGACAATATGCGATTGGTTACCCTGAAGAATTTCTATAATCTTCCCAGAGAGATAACCATTAGCATAATCATGCCATACCAGCTTTTTTCATTGAAAAATCTGCAAACTTCTTCCTATATCCTGTTCTTCAAAATTTTTTTACTTTCCGCAATGGTTACATCTCTTAATAATTATATTATTTGTTGTTGTAAAAGAGGAGTAATTTTGATTTCTCTTTGTTCTCACGTTTTCATCATTTATGACAACTTCAAGATATATTTGGGGTAAATTTGCTGAAAATAGATTTATTCAAATCGTAACCCCTATAAGTTTTGTTAATTTGAACAAAGCTAAGATTGACTTATCTGTCTTATAATTACTCACAAAGGTTAGATCATGGATTAATAAAAATGGTTTTCCATGGACGAATGTGAAATTAGTTATGCATGAGTCAGTATATTTACAGATTACAATAGTATATTTAATGCGAAATTGAAGAGAATTATTTTTGTTAATTTGTTCACTAATTCCGGGTTTGAATTTTGATGAATGATAAACGTGAAGTTTCGTATTAGAAAAACCGATAAAAACTTGATATGATGATGAGTGATGTCAGGAACAAAGGTAAGGAGAGGGGATCCACTGAAATTCAGTACTGATGCTAAGATGAAGTTATAGACTGTGTTCATCAGAAAACTAGCATGCAGGTTTACAAAATCCTTAGTGATAATTAGTGATTGGTTGTCACAATTATTTAAAAAATCGAATCATAAGATTTTCTCCTTATATTCTACTGAATCAACAGTGTGGATCAGTGATTTCCAGTCCAGTGGTTAGATACTGACTGGTTTAATCAACTAATGACAAGATGGTTTTCGGTTATAAATTGTTTTCACTCACAGATGTGTGACTCTGAAAAGTTTCTTGGAGGGGATAAGCAGGTTTTTAACGTGGTTTCATACACACTAGTCCTCTAAAGCACATAAACTCATTATCATTCTGACTATTTGAGATAACTCGAACACAGTACCCATCGCTTTAAACGCCTCAGTGGCAAAGACAACACTCACTGCTGTGTAGTTACATCAAGTTAAGGAGGACCAAATAGGAAGAAACGCGCTTTCTGAATTCCTGTGTTAGTCACCAAGATCATCATAACATCATGAATATTCAGCAGTACCGAGGTATCCGCATAGAAGCCTATTTGGCAACAGAGGTGGAGCGATTTGGCCCAGCATACCAACGGGAACTTATAAGTGTCACTACGCCAAGAGACGTTATCACTTTTGCACTTAAATAAGTAACTAGTTAGTTTAAAGCAAATAAGTCTATTCCCTAGAGATATGTATATATCAGCGTACGTCCAAGTATTTGGCCATAAAATTTATTTTAATCATTCATAAGTAGCTGAGTTGGAAATATTGTTATTATTTATTTGTCCCTTGGGTTCCTAATGGAACATAGGGCTTCAGTAGCATGTCTCCATTCCACTCTCTTCTCTGCAAACTTTCGAACCTGGCTCCACAACAGCCCACAAGCTCTCATTTCCTCCTCGCACGATCTCCTCCATGTCACCCTCACCTCGGACGCCCAACTCGTCGTTTCCCATTTGGGTTGCACTCGAGTGTCTGACCTGGCGCGTGATGTCCCCGAATGGTCTTCTCAGTGCATGCCCAATCCATCTCCATTTCCTTCTGCATATTTGGAGATGGATTTTGGATTCTAAAAGAATGCGACAGTTAGCACACTTACTCCAGTATTACATGATAGTAGTTTAAACACCATCAAACTGCAGGATAGTTCACGCCGTATCATGGTTGAGCTGATATAATAGATGATAGTTATTTAGAATTGAAATCAGTTGCTCAGATACTAAAGTACTAGTATTTATATGGACTAAACCTTTATCTGGCTCATAGATTGATCATTAGTAATTACTACTGAAAATATATGTGACACGATGAACAAGATACCTTCACAATAATGTGTTCCTTAATGCCACTGTACTAATTAATGGTGCAAAACGGTCCACTTAAAGGTCTGTTCATGTGTACAATGACGAGTCATAAATATTTGGAGTAATAATATATTAAAGTTTTCGATAAATAATTTTTTTTATAAAAACATATAAACATTTTTAATTGTTTAAATGGTTACATTTTATTTGTCTAATGAAAATAGTCTTCATAAAAGCAGCGTAAATTAAAAAATAGCAAAAATTCATTCTCTAAAGTGATGGAATATACGTTATTTGAAAGATTTAAACAAATTTTAAATATTCAATATAATATATTACTGATAATGATAAACAAGTAGATAGAAAGAATGATGAAATATAGTGAATTAATGATAATATATATCCTTTATACTAAAAATACTAACCATATTAAAAGTCATGATTACATAAACAGGGATACGCTTAAGATATGTAGCATTCACTTGACATGTTGAATGTTATTCAGTTTATTTATCAATCAAATTATATCAATACCACTGTCTAATTTTGCATAAGCATGTAAAATTTTCACTTTTTTACGCATTTTTTCACGATACTCTGGAGTAGTATTCCTTAAATACTCATCAACTGCATCGGCTTCAGTTGATTCATGTGAAAGTGCATAAGTTATTTTAATAGGTGAATTACTCATCTTTACATCTCCATTCTTGTCTTTCTCATAAGTATAATGATTATTATGAATTGTTTGAGATATATGTTTATTTGTAATATTACTATCAAGACAATCATCCAAAGCTTTTATCTCTGCTGCAGCAATCTCTTTAGCTTTGATACTAGTGATATTATTTTCCTTTGTATTGGATTTATTAACTATACTCAAATCTTGTCGAATTTCATTTAACACTGCACTGCTATGATTAGACAAATGCTTATCATTTCCACTCATATTATCATTATATTTCTTATCAGTTTTCTTTTCAGATATTGGTGATTTTGGACTTGGTTGTTGATTTGAACTATTAATTGAATTCTCTCGAATATCTGATAAACTTGAGTCAACTTCAGACATTCTACGTGTTGTATCTTGTTTGGTTATATCGACTGATAAACGTTTAAACATTTGATTTAATGAATTTTGATGTGCAAACGAATCACGTTTTAATAAATCACGTTTTGTTTCAAGTTTAATTTCTGATTGTGTTGGTGGATCTAATTCAGCTGAATGATAAATTTTCTTTAAGTCTTCAATTAAATGTTCCTCTGTATATCCAGAGGTATTTTTGAATAATTCATCTCTTAATTCTTTTGGACTAACAGTATCTTGCATAGACTCAATGATAGACTGGAAAAAGAGGAAACAATAAAAAGTGTAACTAGGGTGTACACCAAATGTATAATCATCAGTTATTGCATATCATTATGAAATTTATCGAAAAGTGAAGACCTTAATGGCAAATAGATGGAAATATTAAGAGTTACTTTAACCTTGTGAACTGACACCAACTATAAAATAACTGGAGGTCACAGTGTAGTGGGTGCTACTGATAAGAATGGATATAAGTAGCATATGCTGAGACGTCTGTAGAAATGATGATAAGCAGGTACCAGCGATCGATTAATATTCTCCTTAGAGGAAAGCAAGAGACAGTCTGAGTGTATTAATAGCAAGTTGAGATAGAAGCAGAAAAGGAAATGAAACACATTGTGCAAATGACTACTTTAAAGAAAAGTGTACAAGAAGTCGTAATAAACATACTGTACTGAGTCTTAGTTTTACCATTTCTTACAAAAAGACAGGAAGGTTATATTGCACTATCTATGAACTGATCCCCAGTGTACTGAATTGATGGCCTATGGAAAAAAATTCAAAAGCTTCAGCTCTTCGATCAAGAAAATTACCATTTAGAGAATGGATCACAATGAATGTTTTATTATTACACTGACTGTTTTTTAGCTTGGTTCTAGTTTATCAAGATTTTATTGTAAAGATGAACATTGATTAACTGAACTTCTTTAAGTTTGGTTCTCTTCTATGGCTCAGTGCAAGTTTCGATGAGTAGTTTATGACAGAGAAATTCACAGACGAATGGAAACACCAACATATTAGGCGGTATCTGAAATTACTAGGCCTCAAGTGAGTAGATGGATCTTGTATGCGTCTACATACCCCAGGAAACCTTGATCTGCGTAATCATTATTATTTATCCCTTGGGTTCCTAATGGAGCATGTCTCCATTCCACTCTCTTCTCTGCAAACTTTCGAACCTGGCTCCACAACAGCCCTCAACCTCTCATTTCTTCCTCGCACGATCTCCTCCATGTCACCCTCACCTCGGACGCCCAACTCGTCGTTTCCCATTTGGGTTGCACTCGAGTGTCTGACCTGGCGCGTGATGTCCCCGAATGGTCTTCTCAGTGCATGCCCAATCCATCTCCATTTCCTTCTGCATATTTCTTGAGTGATAGGTTCTTGGTTGGTTCTTTCCCACAGTTTCTTGTTGCTTATTCTTTCTGGCCATCTGAGCTTCAGCATCCAGCCAGCGTAGGCAGTTGTTGATGAATATCTGTAATCTGTTGGAAATGCCTTTCATAACGCGCCAAGTCTCTGAGCCATACAGAAGCACTGACCTGACGTTGGTGTTGAAAATCTGGATCTCGTTCACGCTTTACGCTGAGTGCAGAAGATCTCCACACTGGTTTCAGGCTAATGAATGCCTGTCTTGCTTTTCCGATCCTGGCTTTGACGTCCTTGTCTGTGCCACCTGTAGTTGAAACAGTGTTTCCCAGATAAGTGAAAGAGGCTACTTCCTCTAAGTTCCTCCTGTTGATGGTGATTGGAGTTTGTTGTTGGTGGTGTTGGTGTTGGTTGGGTACCTTCATCACCTTTGTCTTCTCTATGTTTACTTGAAGTCCCGTCTTCGCTGTCTCTCCTGCCAAGTTGTTAGTTTTCGCCTGTAGATCTTTAATGTGTTACAGTGAAATAATTTTAAGCGGGATGTGAAAGAAAATCTAGCAAGGTCATGGTCATACTCGAAAATATTTTAAAAATGAAAAGAATAGAATATTTAAAAACTAAAAGAACAGAAGATTATGACTACAGTACGCTGGAACATTTCTTCATAAATTCGATTTGAGTCCATTCTCATCTTAAAAAATTTGATAAATCCGGTTTTACTCATCTGCAAAGATTTGTGGAGTTAAACATAGTCATGAGAATTTGTGTTAATTCTGTTGAAGTTCTCATTCGGCAAAATTGTCTATACTCCTTTTGAATGGGTAATCTATCGTTTGAAAATAAGTTGTACCCGTTCATTCTGATTTCCCACTGTATAGGTGAAGTTGATTAAAGGAAGAAAAGCCTACAAAAGTCGTTGTTATGAGATGCAAGTCCTGGATGCCAAGATACCAGTAAAGTACTCAACTACATCTGTGAACACTTTAAGTGTTAGTACTTCTATCAACAAAATGACTCAGGTTTTCGAACAGATTAGGCCCAAATATGATATATCGTTAGTTTCCCGTCACTCGTTTTGTTTGAAGCGATATAACTACTTCTAGGCATTTACGTGATCCCTGAAAAAGTTGGTTCCATCATTATTAGGTTAATATACCATCCGACCAATAATCAGACATCTCATTCATTAAGATGTACGTAAATTCCGCAAAACGATTGTGCACTGACCACATAGCCACCTATGTATGCGAAGGTTTAATATCTATCAATTTTTCTAACAGTGTTTACTCTTCTTTTACAACTTCAATAACCTTATATGGTGTCACTTACCCAAGGATTATAGTATAAAGTTAGATACTTTCTTAAACTATAATTATAGCCAAACCTGAGTGCTCTTGACATAGGTATCATCTTATGTGCCACATAAGACTTCGTTAATACAGGCAATATCCTTACTGGTTATGCTAACGCACACAAACTCAAATGTAACCTTTTATTTAGTGACATTCTAACCTACAGGCGTTAAACAATTAATAATCATTAGCTATGAGTTCATTATTTTAAAGAAAGTATTGTATCAGGTGTTTTGTGTCTGCTGCTTAGGCATATTATTTAACTTGTTTTTTTGTCGAACTGACGTCATTATTTTAAGTGAGTATAGTAACCGATGGACACCTGAGTCAAGTTAACTGGTACAGGTTAACAACTTTATTACTTGTTTTCATACCTCCATATGAATGATAGATAGTGGCTACCAGTCAAATCCAAGACACCCGTTTCGTCCTGTTTCAGACTCGTTAGGCGGATGTACCTTCCACCCAGTCAGTGGTGTTGTTCCTACTCACGACGGGATACTACAAGCAACAACATTCTTTATTCCTTTGCCTATCACCCAACCATGATAATCACATTGGTTACTCATAAGTTCTACTATGCCTTCAGCAACTAGATAGGATCGATTACTCTTGGTCGAGTTACTTTCGTCTAACTGTAAGGATTACTTATTATACAATCTTAATGAAGATTGAAAAACGTTCTTGGAAAAAAAGGATATCCAATTATTGAAACTAAAAGTCTGTCTTGAGAAATACCAGTCAATTTTATGTGTCTGCCAAGACTTTCATATTCTTCAATCAGTCACTCTTGTCTTTTTTATTTTCTTATGAAGTTACTCATAGTTCAACCTGATCACGTGCCTGATTACATACAATTATAATTTGGAAAGCACCGGCTTTTCTTAGTATGTGACAAAATGCCTATTTTCATAAAGGTTAATAGTGATGACCTTCTTCATGAAAAGAAAACGCAGCTAAACTTTACTATTTCATAGATATGCATTGTATTAGTAACCGATGATGTCAGAGTGAAGAATATACATTTACCTGGCATAGAATTGGCTAGAAACTCAATTATGATACGTCTTTCCATGCAGAACCCATTTCACTGCTTTTTGTATCAATGATATCGAAAAGTCTCTTAAAGATTTAGAGTATTTGCAAAATATACTCTTTGGGAAGTGACTAATGTATCTTTCAGGTATGGAATGCCAAGTATTGATGGAAGGTTATCGATTTATCGTGCATTGTAATGTATAGACCAAGCAATATGACTCTGAGATACTCTGCTGATAGATACCAGAAGTTAATCAGTGCTTGTTGACACTCATCATTATGGTAAGTTCCTCAGTCTTGAGGAAACGCATGTTCCGTAAGGGATTCAACTTAAGCCACTCACTGCTGAACTCAAAGACGCTACCACTAAGCTATTCCTTTTGCAATTTAGGAGTATTTACTATTATTATTATTGCTTGGAATCCATTATCATCAGGTTTGCTGTAAATAACGTTAGTTATTGATGGGAATCACTTTGAAAGTAGACTGTCTGATAAATTTATATGTATTTAGCAAGAGGAATATAGCTGTTGTACGTGCATGTTCCGCACGTCTTATTTTCATAGTTTAAGAATTCTGTCTAAGACGGATGAGCAGTGGCTATCAGCAGTAGCAAGGATGTGTGTTTCGCTGTAATAACAACTTGTCAATTGCAAATGCTCGCCTTTTTAGCTGAATGTTAATTTTCCCTATGGGAACTGAATCCAATACTCGTTGCTTCAAACATAACGGCACATCCTGGACTCTACAATCAGTCACTACTGATTCTAAATATCTCGACTTATATCAATCGATTTGGAATAGAATAATCCACATCAGGAAGTAATAAGTCGAAATACCAATTATAGTGTGCAGAAGGTTACGAAAATCTTCATAAGAAGCCTTATATGCCTAAAGCCTTTTTCAACCAATCACTCTGATTTACGGTTTCAGGAAAAAAACATGTGAATCAACATGTAAATATCAGGTTAGTTGAAAAGATGGAAATGCAATAGGAATTAAATCCAGAAAGGTCTGGAGATAGGGAAGGCCAGCGTAATATACATAAACCCTGTACTCTGTATATTTTGTAGACGTTACCGTCCACGCTGTAAATAAACCTGTTATATGAACGCCTTTTTCCATTATGGAAGAACTGAGCGACCATTAAGGGTAGAATCTGAAGGTACATTGTACAAGCGTCCGCACACATATATAACTCAAGCTATATTAAGTCACTATGAGAATATAAAATCAATTTCGTCTACTGTTTGCTTTAAATGATATGTTCAACAAATTTTTATTCATAAACACGACTTACATCAAACTCATCTGTAACTTCCAGTTTATCTCTGATTTTCATTACAGCTTTACGAACAATTTTTGCCGGTAATCCACTAAGTATGTAGAAATATGTGACGATAAATAATGCAGATTCATGATTATTTGGTTCTCTAGTAAATTTTCGAGAGGAAAAAGGCAATGTGAGAAGAAAATAATTTGAACACTGCATTTCAATGGATTAGTGAAGTAATGTACACTTTCTAGAAATGATATATGTAAACATTCTCTTCTCTTGAATGAGTAGATTTTCACCAATCCAACTGTATTAAGGATGAAGATGGATGGATGGAGATCATTTAGTCAAGATGACGGGTTGTTAGTTGTATCACATAAGCACGTTTTATCAAGAACCCAAGATATCCATAAACCACCCATACCAGTACATATGTTTCGTTTTCAGAAAAAAAGTAATTGACATGAAAGATGAACAACTAAAAAGCTACTCTATTAATATAGGAGTAAAATCTGGGTACTGTGGTCGATTGTAATTCCATTTTAGCCCGTTTATTAGGAATATCACACAGTGAAACATTATCATTTACTGGATAACGTTTCGAACATAATTTATTGTCCATATTCATATCAGGTAACTCCACAACTTCGAGACAGAGTTTATGTATTTCTAATTTTCTCTCCTCCTCTGTGATGACGAGGGTAGTGGAATCTTCCATATATCTGGGACAGGAGTAGAATCATTTCGATTGCATGTATTTGGTGTTGATTCGGATAAACAGCGTTAAAAACTTAGTTAGGTGGAGGGAGAGATTGATAACCAAAAGGCTTGTAGAAAACAAACGTAACAGATGACCTATAGGTTCCACTAGTGTGTAAAGTAACTTCTATGAGAGTGATCTTGGTACAGTTTTCTTGTCGCAAATAATAACTTAATCCTTTTCTGTAGTGTTCAAAGGTGGTCAGACTTGGTTGAAAAAATAATGGTGATCAGTGAAGGCCTTGTTATCAGATCATGAGAAGAACAGATCATGTTTTCATTGAATTCAACTGCTAAGTAAGTAGATCTACTAAACAGTGAATCAAAATCGTTATTCACTCAACGTACAGTCAATAACTTTTTTTCGTTTGTTCAGTGTAAGTTGTTACAGTCATTCAAACATTCTTCTGAACTGATGCGGGTTCATAACAAAAGATATTTTTGCCAATGCTTATTTTACGGAAGTGAGTAGTCAGACAGCATAGAGTTTACGTGACAATAGATAAAGCAACCATCAGTGTTCTTTTCTTTGTAAAATTTCTGTTTTGGTCTTATTTCAGCAAAGTTCATTTTAACCTGTAGAGGAAAATTCTAGTTGGTTGGTAAAAGTGATATATAATATTGATAGTTACACCGATAATCAGGTAAAACACTTAATGATCGAGATAATACCAAGATTTACTCATCATTTGAGTCTTTTAGTTCCAAGTATACAGCATCGCGTTGCTAACTAAGAGGTTGATCATTCAAATTTTACCAATGTCCACTTTTTACTTCAATCCCAGTATATATATATATATATATATATATATATATATATATATATATATATATGAAGAAACACTATGATCGTTGTTCAGAGGAAACGAAATAATGACTACTAATGTCGTTCACGCCATATAAAGCTTATGTGGCACCATGTCGGATACTAGCAGTGGTTGTATGAATTTAAATATGTAAGTAAACATTTATCAACTCAAACTTTTCTGGAAGTATAAGTTTCTCAAAAGGCCCACTAGAAACCAATTGTCAAGAAATACTACAGAGACCTCTTAAGTAAAAACCAAAAATACAAGGCTGTAGAAGTCTCCAACTAACGGTAAAGTTATATGTTACTGTATCAAGCTAAAATCGATATTATGAGGTTACGTAAAGTACATCATAAAGGGAAATCAAAGCTTAAACATTGACCAGATGCTTTTTTGACCGTTTAGCGTAGGGTAGTAGGAAACTTGAGGACAAGGGGTTCGTCTGGTTTTAAATTCTCTAGTTGTATATTCCAACACTTAATAATGAAGAATAATGACTTCATAATAAATGACTGCGATATTTAATGAAAATGGTAAACCGGAAGATTGTAAGGACTACTACTGTCTATTCATCGTATTAAACACAGACTACAATTTAAAGGATCAAAGAGGTTTCGTTACAGGATTCTGAATAAGGGACCGATAAAGAATAACCATTTAAAGGTATTTATCAGTACATTAAGCAAAAAAGCCAAAGCTTCAAGTGAATAACACTTCAAGTCATCAAATAAACATAATCGGAATAAATGTCCTAACACTTAACACATCAACATAAAAATCGATGTTGCTATGTCATTTATTGGGTATCATATACCACATACTGGTCGATGGTGGTAAATTTATGCCCAAAAAGTTGAAGTGTACCACTTATCGATAAATGATCATCTATTTTAGGTTGGAATTAATCATAGACTGACATCAGTTGGAGGAAAATTGGAAACCTCAGACCACTGGATAGCTGTTTTGTTCTAGTATGCCCACTGGTCACGACTTCACACTGGAATTCTATGAATCACCTCCCAAAGCTAGTCACTAGTGGGCGTTACTCAACGACAACACTGAATGTAGGTCACGCTGTATCGTGAAACGACAGAAGTAGGATTAGTGGACCATTTTGATTCTGACCCATCGACAACGTGCTAACCACATAAACCTGAAGGTCCTGGGTTCGACCCCTGGTCGGACGGAGTTATGGGTTCGGACTTCTGATGAGTTCCATACTGAGGCGAAACAGCTGTTCAGTGTTCCCAGGTTTCCGGTTTTTATCCAACTAGTGTCAGTCCATGATGAATTCCAACCTAAAACCAACTAATCGACCTCCACAAACTTCCAGACAGAATTAATCATCTACTAAAGAAAACAAATGTTGCATAATATCATATTACTATACTATATCAACGAATTTGTAATTTATATTTCAAAGTTATGCAAGAAAGTGGTTATCAAAATGAATTACTTATCCACTACATACCTATTAAACATTGCAAAATAAACTAATTTGACATTGCTTTTGTGAACTGAATGATCAATGTGCTTAATACAATACAAAATACATTCAACCATAACTGAACAATTTTTAAACTTTACATATACCATTGTTACGAAACAATGACAGTTAAACTAGCTAGCATGTAGCATATGTAATCAGTTAAGGTGGATTGTGAAACGTGATACGTACATATTCCATCACAAGCTCTCTATATGAATTCAGATGGTGACAATGTGTGGAAATGTAAAATTAAGTCAAATATTTTGTTTCATATCATATTTACTTAAGGTGTGAAGAGTGAAAGTTTAAGAGTTTTCCAAGTAAGACACTGAGGATACTGACTGAATACTTCTAGAAAATATTTGAGAGTCAAACAGAACCAATCTTCAAAAAATCATAGGCTAATCATTTTCGACTGCCCCTTTCATAAGAAATTAGATCAATCTTAGAGATTATTCTTAGCGTTATTGCTTATCAGTGAACTAACAGTAAAGCGTATATCATTATCATTTTCACCATCTGAGATAGCCGTAGTTTGGCAGACTTGTATGGATACCAGGCTAGAAACCTTGTAGCCGTTGGTTCGAATTCTACCACGCTCCAAATTTTCATTTCACCTTCAATCATCACCCAGTATTATAGTCTATCGTTAAGAAACATCTTAAAATATTTTAATGATAAAGATGGCACTGAATGATTTTGATCAATAAACCCTTACCATTACTTAAGTGAATTAGAGACAAGTCACTTTTCTGTTTTCATCACACTAACTACTCAATCAGGTTTTCGTTTTTCTGTGCCTCTTGTCTTACAGGCAAAAATATAGAAATTTTAAGAGTAAATAGAAGGCGAACTGTGTAAAACAGTGGCAAATAAGCACACCTCATAGATAAATTTAATTTTTTTCAACGCATGTAGCACCATAGCTACTACTCTAACGAAATTTACTCTGATAAAGGGAAAATATAGTAACCCTCATATTCATATAAATTCCAATTAAAATCTAAACTCAAATAGAAAAATTAGAAAGCAAGCATTCTCTCATCAGGTGTATCGCGACAGTCTGTTTCCTACTATATCAATGAAGTTCACACAAGACATTTTTATCCAATTACTGATTTCACTGCGTCAACAGAGGCGTCTATCAGTCATTTAATAAAATGAACCTTTCATAATCCTACTGCCTTCACTCATAACCTCGTCTTTAATTGGATTTCTTATGAATCGAACTTCAAACTTTGATACTGAGGACAAATAGTGGTGAACATAGAAATCCAAGATGCTTATTTCAACCTGTTTGAGACTTTTCATTTGAATGTACCTACATTCCAGTCAGTGTTGCTCTTCCCACTAATACTCGAGTCGATATTCCAACAGTGGTAGGATAATTTCTGTCTAGATAAACCAATAAAGGAAAATAAATAACAAAGAAGTAAAATTCAGTACCGTTCGAAAAAATAGGATATGACCGAATGATAATTGTTGACAACATTGAAATTAATGAATTTCTACTGGTAGACTAATGACGGTCATAGGTGCGCACTACTTAGGAGTCCCATACTAGGATGAAATAGCTGTTCAGTGCTCCCAGGTTTCCACTTGAAAAATCGCTAAATCCCTAAAAACCTCAAAGTTGAATTGATAAAAAAGATTACTGTTTGTTGATATGCTTATAATTTTTCATTGTTTTACAGGATCCAATTGTTCGACTTGTATTGGCATATGAGCTTGTATGTGGATGCCCCAATATTGCCTGAATATTTATCATGATAATTTAATTGGTTGTGGCTAGCAGAGGAATCCAAGACTCTCGCTGTATCCTATTCGAGATTCGTCATCTGAATATACCTGCACCCCAGTGAGTGGTGTTGTTCCCACTGAGACTCGAACCTCGTACTCATCGCTTACAAACGTGAAGGAGTCATCCACTATGCCACGGAGGTACGATAGACAGTAAAACAACGCAGAACTACAAGTATATCAATAAACAGTAATAACTAAAACCCGTTGTACGAGAGGTGGCTATCGTGCCTCAGTGGCATAATGATTAACGCTTTGGCGTTTGAAGCGATGGGTAAGAGGTTCGAGTCACCATGGGAA